AAAAAAAAAAAAAAGAAGGCTGGGACACAGCAAAACAGACAGAAAGACTGAGTATCCAACAATTTAAGAGCCAGGCAGTTAAATACGTGAAATGGGGAGCTAAACTCACTTTGCCGCTTGCTTGGAAGTAAGCAGAACAACCCCTCTCAGGCTGCTCAAACTTGCATGCCACAGCAGAGATTCCTTCCAGAAACTACATCTTCTGTATATTCTCACTTTCTCTGCTGCCTGATTTACTTTCAAGAGAGATTACAACTCCCTGCATCTCTCGAGGCTTTGAAGTTTCTATTCTCAAAACCACAGGCAATCACAGACAAAATTTCCATCAACTTGCCACGCTGGTTACAGCTTACTGCTCTCTTTGCCAATTGCTGCTTCCATCGTGGAGGGGCTGCACAGGGTTAAGCACCTGGCTGGCACAGCATTTAGTATTTAGAGACCTGATGCTGGCTTTTTCATTCAGGTAAAATTTTCACTGCTATTGGCCCCAATGATATTTTCAACCTTTCTTGGGCTTTCCCTGAGCAGCCACAAGTGAGCGCTTCAAAAATGAAGATGCGATTATGGTCTGCTGCGTTAGCGGAAAGATTTCTGATGGCAATGCATTATGCCACAAATTGCTCCTATCTTACACAATCGGTTGCTGCACAGTAAGGAGGACTGCTGCAAATTAAAATACTTTAGTATATAATGCTAACACTGTTAGAAAAGACTGTCTTTTATTTATGAATATTTTTATAAGAAACTAACTTTCTCTGTCTAGCATGACAATCTCCTATCTTGATTTCATTACATTTATCACTTACTATTGACTTGTAGATAATAATGCTCAAAGATGTCCATGCAGGGTAAGTCTGGGTCTACACAGATTGTGCACCCATTACCTTTTGGTAAGCAGCTGCTCTTATCTTGTGATAAATGTAACAAGAAGGCAGCTTCAGCTCCTTCACAGAGAGAAAACTACCTTAAATGAACTTGAAACACCACAGGTAAGAGCACACATATGGGCAGGAGAGGTGACAGAGTAACCTTTGCTCTGGAGCACCCACACAAACATACTCCACGGCTTTTTAAGCATACCCCTTGCTTTTTGTACCCAAGCTCCTCACAGCCTTTAAACACCCATGGACATGGCACCCAATGAAGTACAGTCCTGTGCCAGTCACTGTTCTCCTGCCGAGGTGAAGGGACAGCCTGCAAAAGCACCTTGAACTGCAAAGTGCTGCAGAGCAGGATGTTCAAAGCTAGGTGTCCTGAAGGCTTTGGAGAACTCCCAGTACATGTCTGCCTTCACTTGCACCTGTGAAGCCTGACCCTACCGGAACTGCTCAGGGGACAAAAGCAATGTGGGCACAGGTCTCCTGCATTTCAGGCTGCTGTGCTCCGTGAGGCAGCCTTAGGAGAAGGGGGAGTCAGGCTTGAAGGCATGACACTTCTTCATGTCTCCATTGGGCAGTGGAGTCCATCTCCATTGCACAAACGTGTCAGCTCAGGTCAGAGCGTGGTGTTTAAAATTACGTAGATGGGCAACAACAAAGCTGAAAACTGAACTCCTTGTCCTGTTGCCTGTGCCTGTAAACCAGCCTGCTGCAGAAAAAGCTCTTCCCTTAAAAAGCAAAGAGCCCCCAGTTGACCCCTGCAAGATGGGAGGTTCTGGGAGGAAGGGTCGGCTCCCCACTGCAGATAAGGTTGATTACTGCGGTAACAATCAGGACTATATTACTTTGAGATATACTGATACTTTCAGCACTAATTGCATAATTTCTTCTGCATTTTAATGCAAACATATGTAATTATTGAATATTTACATAACGAATGTAGCACACTGCAGTGTTTTAAATGCCAAGCACCTACAACACAATTCTTGCAACCTTAACAGTTGGCAATCCTCTTTTTTTTAACCAGAAAAAGATTAAAACTTAAGACTGAAGCATCTTAATAATGCCCCTCAGATACATTTGGTCTCCACCACAACCAGCTCTCCACCCCTCAGTTCAAAACCCAAGGGAAACAAAAGCCACGTACTGTGTGCTGTGAGGGAAATCGAGCAAGTGCGTCATGGTGACAAAAGGGTGGTTCAGAGTTTCAATGGGTGTTATTCTCTTATCTGCATCTATCGTCAACATCTTCTTTAACAGATCTATAAACTCCCGCCGGTCCGCCTTTTCCACCAACATATCGCTTCCTTCCAAATCTGTTGTCATGTTCACCTAAAGGAGAAAGGACAAGGGTGAGCACTAAAGGCAAAGAGCAGATGGTCAGGTCTCCAGCAAACCGTGTTTACTCCTCGTTGGAGCACGTGCCCTGCAAGGCTCCCTGTCTAACGGGGTGGCTGCTGAAGTCACACAGCAGACTCCGTGGTGGCTAGTCATCTGGCTTGTGCATGTCAGATCTCTAGACAGACTGTTATGTGTTCAGCTCACTTGGGTCAATGGCTAATGAAACACTTAGTCACCCTCCACTGAAGATGAACAGCTTCCATGCGGTAGCAGGCAAGCTCTGATAATCAGTATATTTATCATGTACAGGACTCTGCTATCAGATACTTAACTACGTGTCCTGTGAGAAAAAAAAAAATAAAATATTGTCAGCAGGTTTATGAGGAACATCCCATTCATGTATCAGGTGTCAGGAAAAAAAAACAACATTACATTATTTCACCTATTTAAACAGGCTGCCCTGATCTCAGTCCTCCATTTCTGCATGTTTGCTTGTGAATGCTACAATCTCTAGACTTTGCTAGCACACACTCCAGTTTTGCGCCAGTGTTGTGCCTGTTTTGCACACCAGTTTGTTTGCTAGCACAAACTCCAGTTGCAGGAGTGGTGATGCTAGAATTAACTTTCACAACTACACAGGATTGACACAGTGAATTAGTACTCCCCATTCCCCCAGACAACCACGTTTTAAAGAGAGCACGCTCTTCTGTGGCCACGGTGATTATTTCCACTGTCACCATTTTACAAATGGAAATATTAAAGCACAGAGAAGTAATTGACTTGCCAGTGGTCACACAGAGGAGCACTGGAGAGATAAGAGAAAACGCAGGATTTCAACACTCAGAGATACAACTTCGCCATCTTCCAAGGCTGCTTTACTGCAGCGCACTGAGCTTACATGGTCCTATGTGCAGTTTCCCCTACAAAGCAGCACGTAACGACCTGATTTGGTAGGTTATGCCAGTATTTCTCAGGAGATGGCACAAGAATAGGATACACAGAGAAATCATGTAGTTCCCTTTTGTTAGCATTGCCTGAAAGCATGTGAGGCAGTCTTGCCGGTTACTCACCAATGCTCTTACCTGTGCCATATCATCCAAACAGTTGAAAATATACTTTCTTGCTTCCTTCGACTTAATCCCCGTCTCTGCCTCATGATCATCTGGTGTCTGCTCAAAACAGGAGACAGGCATTGAGCAGAACTGCCCTGCAAGCAGCTGCAGGTTATGTGCCACTTCCAGCTTGTGCCTTATCCTGCCCTCACCAGAGACCACTGTGCCTCTCTTGCCTGATCAGATACTGTTTACGCTATCTCCGCTATAGTTATATGACAGCTTTTGTGTCACAAGGTGATTTATCTCTTCCCAACCATGGTGGGAATCTTAAAGGTCCTTTACACCCACTCCAGCGTGAGGCTCAGCATCCCATCCTCACAGCTAGAAGCCCACTGGCCTCTCTCCTTGGGGGCTGAGTGCAGCCAAACACGCTGGTACAAGAGACTCAAGGCTCACTTGCATTACTAGTGGTTTTGATTGTCAGAATTAAAATGCTTTCTTTTTTTTTTTTCCCCTCCTTCCTCAATGCTTTAGATATTAGAGCAAAGTCTGCCCAGGGCATGTTTCATTTAAACTACACATTGATTCATTGATTACTTAGAGGGAGATTTCCAGGTCAGTTCCGGACTTAAATTTCCCACAAAGCAGTGCCAAGCAGGTGGGCTAAGGTCTCTAGACTTTGGGGACAGCAGTTTTACCTCGGGCTATACCCACCCCAGTGTCTGTGCTGCGTTGCAAGAAGCAGAGACCTAGGCTCTGAGGTGACATGAATGTCTCCTCACTTCCAACCAACAACTGCAAGGTACAAGAAACAAGGGAACGTCTTCCTACCTTCAGCCTCCACAAAGGATACGGTGAGTCTGTATCCCTGTTGAAAAACCTTGTAGTCTTTGTCCCTGCACTTAACAAATACTCTGCTGGTAAGCCCTGCGTCTGTGAGATATAGCGAATCTGTAAAAGAAGGATGAGAGGTCACTGCTCAACCTGTGAAGATCTCTGGAGGTCTTCCTTGAAGGAGGGCAGGAGGCATTTAAAACAACAGAACAAAGAAAGAAAGAAAGCGAAAACGTAGCATGTAGTTAGACTTCACCAAAAAAACACCCCAGTGCAAGGAATGAGAGGAAAGAGAATTCCCGTACAGTATCCCTCCATTTATCATGTACATCACTGGTAACTCACCCTTATGGCACGCTCCCACAAAGCCTCCCGATACAGGGACGTAAGTCCCTAGGTTTTAGAGGTCGAAGAGGAAGACCCACACAGAGATTTCAATGGGGTGTTTCACTGCTTTGCACCTTTTCATGTCACACTCTCCTCTCTAGGAGGTAATTTCAACAATTTGATACTTGCGCTCTAACTTTTGCTGTTTTTTCCCCCAGCTGAGTGCACAGCCTTTCCTAGGAGCAGTCTGAAGTTCAAAACGGAGGACTATGAAGTCACTGTCTTTGAACTTACATGAAATAGGCACTCAAACGAACTGACACCCTCATGGTATGTAAAGTACTTCATGTCTGTTGCCTACATGACTTCATTTGTTATTTGGGTTAATTCCACGAGTATGACCTTGCTGGCACTTACACAGCTAAAAGATGCCACACGTGTTTACAGGATCTCAGACTCTAATTTATTTATTCAAAGGAGAAAGGGTCTGTGATTACAGAGAGACCAATCTCACACAGGCCTGGGGTGCCCCACGAAACCTTAGCTTTGGCATCTCCTGACTCCCGAGTGTTTCACTCTGCAAAATTGCTGCAAACTCTGCAAAACTACTAAAAATAGTCATCCACTCTAGAAAATTCTAGGGAAGAATGGAAAGCGTTTTTGAGAAAAAAGACAGAGAGGGATAAAAAACCTAAATAAATAAAGGCATAAAAAGCAGCTGTGGTTTCAAAGACTTCCAAGCACTCAGGACCCGGTTCACTGAGCATGGCTTGCTCAGTTCTGCAGCTCCTTAGGTCCCTCAGAGTTTGTGCACCTGAGAGCACCAAGATCCTGCCCACAGCCCAGCGCCAGTGCTGCAGGGTGACCCGGGCTGTATCGAGGGGCCAGGATCCGCCCCTACCCCTTTCCCAGCTCCCCAGGAGCCCTCACCATACTTCACCAGAGGAAGCTTTGTGCTGGGCAGTTAAACTGGGCAGGTAGGTATGGTGATTTCTTTTTCAGTTATGTGTTTTATGGATTTTGGAGTGTGGCAGAGAGGAGAAAGAAATCTACTCTTCATGTTTGGTATGTGATTTTCAAATGCTTCTACATTTTTTAGTTATGTCTGATTTCCTTTGGAGTCACTAACAGCCCTGCTCTTCACTGTGGGTTATTTCCCCTGCCAAATTTCACCTTCAAAGCTCTAACTGAAAAAATATTAGTTACAAAAGAAGAGTCAAAGAAACATTTTCATACATGAAAAACTTATTTATTACCCTGCTCTTTTTTTTTTTTTTTAGTTTTCTAAAAGAAAAAAGACCCTTTTCAGGCTGCATTTGCAGACAGCTAAGATCACCCTGAAGACAACTATGGGAATGGAAAGTGTTCTGCAGCCCTGGCTCTAGCAGCCGCTGTGCTATCAGTTTTAGGACTACAAAAGGAGCATAAAAGCCTACAGTAAGAGAAGTACGACAGCTTATATTAACTGGAAACCTACACCACTGTGAACGTTCTCCTTCTTGTCATTGCTTTTAATATGCACCCTCATAAAAGGGGTTATGAAACACAGCAGAGTCCCTGCAGTTTCTTCTAACAAATAAACCTTTATTCAACACTTGCTGTTACAGCAGAGAAAGGGTGCCTGCTCTGCTCAGCGAGGAGAGACGTGTACAGAGCTCTCCAGTCAACGGCAGTGTTGACTCTTGATTGAGACTTCACTTAGGCAGTCAGGTCTTAAAAGCCAGCATACCAAACAGCACACTGGTTATCTAGAATAAATACCCCAGGTGGATAATGAAAAGGTTGACTTGTGAGGGTAAGAAGCACATATCCCTCATTAGCAAAACAGAAAAAGTTGGCATCTGTTCACTCTGGCAAGAGAAGGGAAAAACACTCGTGCACTTACCAGCATCCAGGGCAATATCCATACCCACCTGATCGTACTCCGAAGCTCCCGGGTACAATGGCCAGCCCAAGAACAGCTCTGCAATGACACATCCCAACGACCACATATCGATTGCTTCACAAAACGGTAAACCGAGGATGATTTCAGGGGCTCTGCAAAGGAAGAGGTTAGAAAACATCAGCAACGGGAGCAGATCCGCTCGGCTGGTGTCATCAGGCCCGCACAGAGCGTGATGATCACAGAGCTGCCAGCTGCCAAAAGTGTCATTGCTCCTACAGAGCTGAGGGCCCCGCTGGCCACCGGCAAAGTGTCTGCTAACCAGGCATTAGTGGGTGAACATTTACCCTTGCAGAAGAGTCCTCTGGCGGCATTTAGCCAAAAGACAGCCTTACGTTTCGCAGCAGTTTGCAAAGGAGAGAACTACCATTATTTTCATTGGGCAGGTAGGAAAAGGAAGCACAAAACAAACATTGTGCGTTCAAAGCCACCCAATTAAGGTCCCCACTCGAGGCTCTTGCACCCAGCTCGCCATCCCGTGGAGGAACTGTGCGGAATCCCTGCGGTGAAGCATCCTCCATTCACACACCTCGGCAGGCTTCACAAACAGCCAGACATTAAATAATCATTACAGGACTGGTATGAAAGGATTACTGACTTTTTAAACAAACGGATGTAACCATAAAACAGAGAAATAACGTAATTAGATCTATTAGACCTAAGCCTTTTCCTTAGGAGGAAGTAGCCCAGAAGCTTCACTTCTCAGTCTGTCCCAGGCGCCTGATTAGATTTTCTCTTCCCTTCCAGCCCAAACAGCCAAAATGCAGCGGCACTCCCGCTATGCATTTACTGCTGGCTTCAGGAGATGCCCACTGAGGCACCTCTGCCCAGTGTGTTTTGGCAGTAGGCCTGATGAGGAAGGAGAGGATAAGGTAAAAGCTTTGCTTTGGGTCTCCAGGAGGTTCTGCGGCCGGGGTGCGGAGGAGATGCCCAAATAACCAAGACCAGACTCAGTTCAGACTTCCACAGGACCTTAAGGTGAGGGTCACTTCACCTGTCAACCAGGTAGAAGCTGGTGTCAAATCTTAGCCAGGTACCATCAATGGAGAGACCATTCCCCCCCCACCCCCCCCAGGGGGATTTGTCCCACTGCCTTGGGATGGTTTGAATCCTTCACTGACGCTGAAAAGGCCTAGAAGACAAGGTTAGATGAGCTCCTTAAACTCCAGTGGCCAAGGTGAGATGAGACGAATCCTCCCCTTAGTGCCCCAAATGCTTTGCATTTCAAAAGCAACTTCTATGTGGAAGAATCAAAACTATTTTACAAATACTGATAACCTTATATAAAACCCACTTCTGCACACAAACACCTTTCTTACTTTCCCCACCTCAGCCCAGACTTCCACACGCAGTTAAGTGCCATAGTTCTTATTTTACACAAGGATCAACTCAGGCTTCTCTCCTGCTCTTCCTTCAGATCTTGCAACACTTCCAAAGTCCCAGCTTCTGGAGTCAGGTGATGTACAACAGAAAGAAAAACTCACTTTCCCATACCCCTCTCACTAATAATAAAAAAAAAAGGTAGAAGACAGATAAAAGAAACACACATTACTTTAAAACTTTCATCATTTTAAAAATAGCATTGGGATTTCTTGGGCCCCAACACATATTTTGGGAATGCCTGGGGTTGACTATCAAGCAAATCAAGTGCCACTATCCAGAGCTGGAAATAGGACCCATGGTTCCCAGTTTCCGATCTGTCATCAGGATAAGATCTGACACTAGTGAGATCATACTAAGGATTACCAATTGCAGTGGAAAATATTATGTTTTAATCACGCCATTACATAGCCATGTAAAGACAAGTCTTTAGCGAAGAAACCAAGCAAAATGGGTAATTTTTTCCGAAGAAACACGCAAAGGCCCTGTAGCAAGAATCCACGCCCCATCTTCAGTCCAGAACTTCCCCAATTTTGGGTTGACTGGTAATGATAAAAGCCCAAAACTATCTGTTCTCAAACCAGCAATGCCGAACGTAAAAATTACAGGTAATTCTGAGATTTTAAGGTTAGGATGCCTTGTATCATTCCCACAAAAAACATGCCAGAAACTTAAAAAGTGGCTACTTTTAGCCCTTCCAGCTTCATCTGTGCTTGTTGTTCTCATACCCCACAGTTCTTTAGCCCATTGTGACAAACTTAAACACCAATCTCTCCTTAGGAACAAGGGGTTAATTTTCCTCCTTTCCTCCCCATTCCGTCATCCCTGCCGCTTCTCGCTTCTCGACACCTAGACAAAATGTAAAGAGAGAAAGACAGCTATGGTGACCTGAATCTCATTACTATGTAAATCCTGCATTCAAAGCCATCTGCCTCTCCCTGTCTGCCTTCCACATTGTGAACGAAACGTCCCTGGTCACTAATGAGAGCTCAGCCACGCATCGCCTGAACTTCAAATCCCTCCCACTAACTCACGTAGAGGGAGCAGACGGGTGGACTATCCGTGGGATATTCCCAACGTGATTTTGTGTAGAAACCTCCCTGTTCATAAAAATCGCTTGCATCGCTATCGTATGCGGCACACACCTCCTCCCCTGCGTCCCCACATTTATGCTGCCAACACCTCCAGACCCCTGCAAGAAGGCATGACTGAGAATTTGAGGTTCCAAAATTTCAAATTTTTTTTCTTGTGAGTCTTTGGTTGTCCAGTAGGCTTTCCTTAAAGCTCCAACTTCTGGAGTGCAGCAATTCAGAGAGAATTCTTTTTCACACACAAAAGAAGTTTTGTACCTCCGCTGTTAGGAAGAAAAGCGCAAAACCAGTGTCCATACCATTTAAACACATAAAAGGCAACTAAATGGAACGCCATTCGTTATATTAAATCAGACCTATCGTTGTAGGGAGGGGAGGTGATGAGATAGTTTTATTTTATTTTACTTTCTTGAAAGCTGGTATTTGCATTACTCAATGAAGCCTAAACATTAGTTTCAATCTTTGCCCGTTCAGCCCCAAACAGATGATAAATTCGGAACAGCAATGAGAACCCCTGCAAGAGGGGGGCCAGATCAAAGTGACATGGTACCCTACGTACACCACAGCCAGCATTCACTGCGGATTTCTCCCAGCCTTGGTGTCATAACTGCAATTTTTCCAGGGAGAAGGAGTGGCCCTAAGACAAAAAGATCTTGCTAACTTTATTAAGCAGTCATTAAGACACCACAAGAATGACAGGTATCAGACATCACACAGGCTTCCAGATTTTCAGCTAGCAGACACCTCCCGTCTGCCGTGCAAAAGAGAGAGCTGGAGTCACCCCAGCGGAGCAGTGGTCTGCCGGCCTGCTGGCACCCTGCTAAAGGCCAAAGCCAAGGGTGTGGTGAAGGATGCTACAAGTTCTGTAATGAAGCAACTCCTCCACTGATAAAATGCCTTCCAAACCTCTATCGGGTGGAAATTGTTCTGTATGCTCAGTTATGGATGCATAGATCCTCCTGCATATAGACCTATATCCAACACGTGGAACTCCTCTCTCTCTCTTAACTTAAACATGCCAATTTTTTAAGACAAGGTGAGATCTTGACTTCAATCACATGTTGTGGCATGGAGTTCCACAGGCAACCTTCTGCTTTCAATGGCATCTTAACTCAGTTGTTTAAAGCCTGATTTTCCTTCATCAGGTTTAAATTTGTCACCTCTCACTTCATGTTCACATGGACTGGCCTAGAGGTGAAGACGGAAGTGCTTCCATCACTTTTCTTTTAGCACAAGCTATTTTTATCTCTCTGCCCTGTTCTCTCCTGTTTGGAGGAGCTTCTGGCTTCTCAGTGTTCTGTCCCATGGATGTTCCAATCCACTGCCACCGCCTGGCCCTACAAGTCCTCTTCCTGACACGACTGCTTGAAGACAGGCTGAACCGACCTAGCAACAGTTAAACACGAGGATATTCCCCAGACTTACTTTACACTATTTGCAGAATGCTTTTGCGTTCCAGTCTTCCCTGAGCCTAATATTTTGTTTGCTTTTGGAGTGACACAAGGCATTTCAGCAGATGTTTTATCTGGGAGATCCTCTGAGACAGGCAGTCCTTTCTCCAGAGGAGCTGCAGTTAATTTGGGACATAGAATTATGTAGAAATAGTTTGTTTTCCCTCTTCCAATGTTTACTGCCTTTCAGTACTGCACTGATCTGGTGTAATGTTGTCTGTAATCTAGATCAAGTCCCTTAAATGTTCCTCGCTCTTTTCTGCAGCCTAAGCTAAGCAAGTCCATGGTATCTGCACACTTAATCACTTCACTGCTGGTCCACCACTTTTTACAGATAATTAATACATTAAATAACTCTGGTCCTAAAATGGGCATGCCAGTTTTTTGGCTGTGCATCCGCAACACCCTTGGCACAGAAATTCCAGCCTCCAATAGACGACACATGGAGGGAAAACAGAAAACTTTGCCCTCCTGCCCTTCCTCTCCTGCAAGCTGCCTTTGATGTCTCCCAACAAAAGGCACTCCTCTGCTGTATGTGCAGGCACAACCTGCTCTACAGCTCACACAAATCTTTGGTCTATGCTGCTGAGATTTAGAAACCACTTGCCACCAACCCGGGAGAGACTGAAAAGCCCCACTGAGAGCCTGTATCTCCAGGAGAGAAGCAGCCAGCCCATCCTCACTTCCCACATCCCCTACTCCTTTCCCAGACCAAATTACTCCCCTGGCCAGCAAATGGTGACCCGCTCCTTGGTTCAGCGCTAGGTCCAGCAAGTCCCCCATCACCTTGGAGCCCAGCTTGAATGTGCCCGTGTATACCCGAGAGCTGGGTGTCAGGGACCCAGAGCACGAGGGTCCCTGTGCTGGCAGCACCCGCAGGTCCCGAGAGGCAGAAGTGCCATCTCATCATTTGCTTGCACCTCACATATGACCCCGTCCTGCTTTCAGGCCTGCTGCTGGCAGAGTATTTACTTTAGCAACCCTGCTTTGTGGCAGTGTAATTTCATTGTCTGGTGTTTCTGTCAGGAAAATTAATTACCAGTCTAGCTCACTGGCTTTTTCACCCACACATCACAGGACATTAAAAACAAACGCCAAAAAAATTCATTTCCACAGACTTGGATTCAGAGAGCTGGGCTCTTTCTGAATTTTAAAACTCCCCTGCAAACTGCC